CATGCATCACACTCCAATGTACCTATATGTGCAAGGAAACAAGGTAAGTCCATGATATTGAGCTGTTATGAGCTAAATAACTTGCTGCCATGTATGATTATGGTGATGTGAGCTATGTTTGAAGGTCATGAGCTAATTATATTATCTCAAAATATGTGTAAGATAATGCATGAAGCTTAAGAGCTAATATGAATGCATATGAACTAATGAAATGATTTATAATGATGCTGCCTTGATGTATATATGATAATCATGCTTAATATGATTATAAGACTATCCTAACATGCTTATAACATTGTGTATCAATCATAAAGATATGGGTTGTTGTATGCATGAATATCATATAACATGGTATTCATAAATGATAAATGGAAACATGTAATAATAATATCCTAATAAATGATATGTAATCATAACATATATTTGAATAATATGAAAAACATGATCAAATAAGCATTTGATGAAAATAATAATATGATAATTTATACTAACATATGAATGCATGCTTATGATAGAATAGAATGTATAAATGGTATAGTATAAGATAGGGTAATAAGAACTCCCTTAGAAACAACTTTGAAGAACATCCATGGTGTGTTCAAGTCATGGAGAAAGTTGGAGCTAGTTTGGATCGTATCAACATTCCAAAACATAGCATAATTACATGGATGGCACTTCTTGACAGACTCCCAACTAAAGACAGGCTTCTTAAAATGGGAATCATTACTGACAGCTCATGTATATTATGCAATGAGGCCACAGAGACTAGGGACCACCTGTTCATCGAATGCCCTCATGCAGTTTCCTTGTGGAATGATATCCTTAACCTCTCCGGCTTATACACTCATCCTTTACGATGGATTAGCATGTTAGACTGGGCCTATAGTACTTGGAAAGGTAAGTCCCTCCTCACTACTATCTTGAAACATTCTTGGTGCACTTTTATCTATTCACTATGGGAGGAAAGAAACAGAAGACTGTTCCAAAGAAACAAAAGAAGTGTGAAGGAAATGTTGAACTATATTAAGGAGATTGTACGTATCAAATTAAGAGGAAGGAACATAAATAGATTAGATAATATTAATATTTACCTTTGTAATCGTTGGGGTATCGACCATCAAATAATGTTGTAAGTAGGCAGTCCTTTATCCCAATGTTGGGATATTATTTTGTATCATTTACCCCATTGTTGGGATTTTTTACAGAGAATTATGCATATTGGATAATAAAATTAAGTTTATCCAAAAAACAAAAAAAAAATAAAAATAAAATAGTTTTAAAAAAATACATTTTTAATTTTTTAATGTGTAGTTAGTGAAATACAAGTTGATCAATCAAAAACATTTTTTTGGTCAATAAATATTTTTTTATATTTTCTAGAAAATATTTGTTTGCTTCTTCAAAGTCTTGTCGTTATTATTTTTTGTTTAATATAACAAATATCCGTTTTCATGTGGAAAATCCATAATTGATAAATTAGTCGTCTTATACATGTGAGTGATACCTAATATTTTTTCCTTTTTTTACTAGATGATGAGACGAAATCCGATCCATTTCGTGTAAAAGCAACTAAAGAACAATTAAATAAATTTTAGACCTCAAATAGTGATCATCTTAAATTAGTTATTTATAGTAAAAGAAACATTTAAATTAATTAAGTGATTATTATTGTTTCTTTACAAGGGTGAAAGTTTTTTTTGAAAGGTACAACGATGAAAGTTTCTAGGTTCGGTGTGGGCGGATGATAATAATTTAGAGTGAAAGCTTGTTAAATTTTAGAAGGATTTGGACTTTTGGAATTTAACCACCTTTTGCCATATTAGCTCGAGGAAGAAATGTCTTTGAGCGCGTTTAAGGGGCATCAAGAAACCTCTTTATTCACGTAACTCGACCTCTCTTGTCGCTTTGTCGACTCAACTAAAATTAGAACTAGATGATGTTTTGGCCCAAGAAGAGAGCTTTTGATGGCAAAAAGCTTTCTTCCAATGGGTAATTCACGGGGACAGTAATACTAATTTTTTTCGTGCTTGTGTTATGGCTAGGAGAAAGCATAGTAAAATCTCTACGCTCAAAGGGACAATGGGACTTGATTATCGGATAGTAATGATCTTGTGGACATGACTTTGACTTTTTTTCGCCAGTTGTCCATTAGTTTGAATTAACCTCGTCTGAGGTATCCCGTTCGGGGTCATTTTCTGGAGTTATCCATCAATGCTAAAAAAGATATTGTTCATGTTACCAATGAAGATATTCATCGTGCTATTTTTTATATGGACGCCTCTAAATCTCCTGGGTGGATGGATTCAATGTTGGCTTATTTCAAAACAATTAGAGCATTGTTCGGAATTCGGTGTGTGATTTCATCAACCATATTTTCACCTCTGGAGGTATTCCAGATCGTATTAATCGTACCATTCTTGTTCTTTAGCCCAAATTCTCATCTCCAGAAACCATGAATCAATTTAGGCCTATCAACCTTTGTAATGTTATTTATAAGGCTATTTCTAAAATTTCAGTTCATCGGCTAAACCATTTTTTGCCTTTTTAGGTTTCGGATAATCAAACGAGTTTTGTCCCAGGCCGATCTATTATTGATAATATTGTTATTACTCAGGAGGTTATTTACTCTATGCAGAGGAAATTTGGTAATCAGGGGTGGATGGTGATTAAAATTGATTTGGAAAAAAGCATATGATAGACTTGAGTGGGATTTCATTGATGATACTCTCGCTGATATTAGAATTCATGTTGCAATCCATATTTATAGTCTCTTCGTGAATTTTACGAAATGGGTCCATGACGGATTCTTTCAAGCCATCTCGGGGTATTCGTCAAGGTAACCTAACCCCTATCTCCCTATATTTTTGTCATGTATCGATCTTTTGGCTTAGGCTATTCAAGTTAAGATTAAGCGGGGAAGTTAGAAACCGTTTAAAACTTCGGCTAGGTGTCCTGAAATTTCTTACATGTTCTTTGTGGATGATATGATATTGTTTTCTAAAGCATCGATTGATCAATTGCATGTTATTGGCATGGTCCTAGATGAGTTTTACCGTGCTTCCGGTCACAAGGCTAGTATTGCCAAGATGATAACTCTCCAAAAAAGTTATTATTTAGGTTTTTTACCTAGGTTTAGCTTGAACTTAACCACTATTAGGAGCATATTAGGATCATTTGTACACATTTTTACATCATTTGCATCACGGGAGTTAGTTGAGAAACTTTGGGTTACTTTTGATATTTATTGCTGAAAATTAGTACACTGATGTTGTGACATTGCTCTATGCTGTAAGTGATGTTGTGAAGTGATGTTGTGCTGAGTCACTATGCAAAACTGGCAGCATCTATTGAGTCACAGGTTGTTATAGAAAATTCTAAAATAGGACAACTGGTTGGATAGCTGTCATTTGGCCAAAATATTAGCTAAAACGTGGAGCATTTTAATTGGTGTAAGGCTTGAAATTCTAGCCTATAAATAAGAGAGGCATTTACACCATTTGAATCAATCTTTTCTTCTCTAAAATTATTCTCCATGTAAATATGTCTTGAGTGAACCATGGCCTCCTAAGCCCTTCGTCAGGAAGTGTAGGAACAGTTGGGGGAACACTACCGTGTAGCAGTGGTTATCAAGAAGATTCTTATCTATCTTTGTTTCTTCGACTGATATAGGGAAGTGAAAATTTAGAGTTTAATTTTTTTCATAATTTTTAATGTTATTTGGTTGTGAACATTATGTGTTGCTTAAATGTTTTTTATTATGTTCAATGCTTAGACTTTATTTTCATATGCTGAATAACTTATGAGATAATTTTATAAATAAAATTGTCTTTATGTATGTATTATCTATGATTTTTAGATATGAAAGTTATGGAAGTTTCATACAACTTTTAATCAACATTGGTATCTGTTAAAATAAAAGTTAGTGTAATGAGATGTATGTTGCCAATTGTCATGCATTGTTAATTATTTAGTTACTTGAACTAATGAATATTAATTCTTGTTAATTAAATATTGTTAATCCTTGTGTGACACATGAGTATACAGTTTTAAGCATAATCATAGTAAAAACTACCATATAGCATCCACATCTATTTAATTCTTGATATGATGTTCTCATAAATGTTGTAGCATTCGTGGCTTCCACCATTATGATTTACCCAATTGCTATTTACCTTTTAGTTCAACATTTCAACCATATATCTTTTGAAACTTTCCACACAACTCTCTTGTAACTTGTTTTGCTCTCTGTGGGTTCGACTCCAAAACTTTTATAGCTTTCATTTTACTACTTGAACACGATAGTGTATGCTTGCACTTTGCTGTAGCATTATCATAGCATCAAGTTTTAGACGTCGTTGCTGGGGAGCAATGGTTTTGCATTAAAGTTACTTTCTTTGTTTACTTATTTTGTTATTTTATTTTTGTAGGTATTTATTCTTTTTAGTAGCGTTGCTGGTGTATTACCCACAATGACAATCATGATTTAGAGCCTTTTGATCCTGAATTCAAACGTACATTTCACCATCATCGTAGAGAAGAAAACTACAATCAACCGTATATGGCCCAATATGATATTGGTGACATTGCTTTTCCACCACCATATGATGAGGATGAATTTTAAGTTGGAAATAAAGCAAATCAACTGTATTATTACAACATTCATGACCGCATCAGGCCAATCTGAGAGCATGTTGTGCCGACCTTAGACGATTTGAATCCTGGCATCGTTAGACCTACCATCCATGCTACCCACTTTGAGATAAAGCTAGTGATGTTTTAGACGTTACAATCAATGGGGTAGTATAACAGTTCATTTATTGAAGATCCTAGAGCACACCTTAGAGTATTCATGGAGGTGTGTGACGTTTTCGTACAGAAAAGAGTACCTGAGGAAGCCTTGAAGCTGAAATTGCTTCTCATTGCTGCTTGGTGCTATAACATCATGGAATAAATTAGCACAAAATATTTTTATGCATTTCAGCCCTCTCAACATGAATGCCAAGCAGAGGAACGATCTCACATCATTCAAGCAATTGGAGAATGAAAACCTCTATGAAGCTTGGGAGAGTTTCAAGTATTTGATGCAAAAGTTCCCGATGCATGGTTTCCCGGATTGGACACAAATGTAGATGCTTTACAATGGATTGAAAATGAAAACACATATGGTTGTTGATGCTTCTGCCAATGGAGCATTATTGGATAAAACTTTCAATGAAGCTTATAACATTTTTGAGAGGTTATCCAACAACGATTACCAATACCTCAACACGAGGAATATGTTTGGCAGATGCAATGCTGCAGTAGTAGATAATGACGCTTTCAACTCAATGGCTTCGCAAATAACAATATTAACAGACATGGTAAAGAAATTGCAAAAATTGGAGCTATGTATGTGATGAAAGTTGCATCTCTTCTCTTGTGTTTATTATGGTGATAATTATAACTTCGAAGAATGCCTGCAAAACCCCGAATCTAACTAATTTGTGAGAAGTTAAAATAGGAATGATAATGCGAATGCTGAATGATAATGCAAATGCTTATGGGAACACTTACAATGCCAACTTTCGAAAGCATCCCAATTTATCTTGTAGGAGTCAAAGTGTTGCAAACCCCAATATATGTTTCATTCAAATTATGGAAATACACAGTAGCATTGCCAACCACAATAGCAATACAATTAGCAACAAATGATACCCCAACATCAGTCACAATAACAAGCAACCCAGCTACAGTAATGTCAAAATTATCAAGGACAAAATTCTAATCAAGCCACCATTTTAACCTTCCTTGAAAGTCCAATGAAGGAGTATATGTCGAGGAATGAAGCGATAGTCCAAAGTTAGTTAGAATCATAAAGGGTAATAGGGAATCAAGTGGGAAACCTGACTAATGTTATGAGTAACAGAAAGCAAGGAATTTTGCCTAGTCATATCAATAATCCAAAACGACATGGAAATCCTAATGTAATAAACATTGCAAGGCCATCACAACACGAAGTGGTCTATATACTGGAAAGCTTGCTAAAGAACCCAAGAAAAATGATGATGAGAAGCTTTAACAACAAGATAAGGGCAAGGAAACAAAAGTGGATCGTGAACCAACTGTGGATGGTACAATAAAAGATATAAGATAGTGTAGTAATTCTAGAACTTTTCCATCACAATGCCAACAACACTACCATCCGTAGTGCCACCAATGCCAAGATAACATTATCCAAGGCCTCCACCGCTAATTCCCTAAATATTCAATAAGACTCAAGAGGATAAAAAATGAAATCATTAATTGATGGGATTAGACAATTGACAATTATTATTCTGTTGATTGATGCGTTGGAGCAAAACTCGAATTACATCAAGTTCATACGAGAAGTTATTTCAAATAAGAGAAGGATTGAAGAATTTGAAATTGTTGCACTCACTAAGGGATGTACTACTATGACTACAAGTCGATTACTACCAAAACTCAAAGATCCAGGGAGTTTTACTATTCCTTGTATTATTGGTCATCAATTTATGGGTAAAACATTATGTGGTTTAGGTGCTAGAATTAACCTTATGTCATTTTCAATTTTTAAGAAATTTGGAAGTGGAGAAGTAATGCCAACCATCGTGACCCTTTAACTTGTTAATCGGTCCACTATTTATCGTAATGACATTTTGGAAAACATTCTAGTTCAAGTAGACAAGTTCATTTTCCCTACCGATTTTATCATATTAGATTATGAAGCTGACAAGGAAACCCAATTATACTCGATCGACCTTTTCTTACCACCAATTGAGCTTTGATTGATATGGAAAGGGGAGAACTTATTATGCGTTTAAATGATGAACATATTACTTTCAATGTTTTGAATAATGTTTCATATAAGAATGACAATGTTGATTACTATTCAGTTGATATTCTTGATTTTTTTACATCAGTAATGGGATGATTTCAACAAAAAATGGTGTTGCTACGAGTAATGCTATGACAATAGAAGAACTAGACAAGAATGAGGAGGTTAAAGGAAACATGTAATACTTTGAGTCATTAGAGTTTCCAAATCAACCTATAAAAGTTCCTCTCCATTACATTGAAAATTCACCCACCATTTAAAGCCTCTTCGCAATTATTTGAAGTACACGTTCTTTGTGGAAGATGGAACTTTGCATGTTTTTGTTGCAAAAAATTTGGGAGCATTACTAGAGGTACAATTGCTTACTATTCAATGATAGTATAAGTGAACAATTACTTGGAGCATTGTTGACATCAACGAAATTAGTCCAGGTTTTTGTATGCATAAGATATTGTTGGAAGATCCCAAAAGTAGTTCCACTGATCAATAAATGAGACTAAACCCTATTATAAAGAAAATTGTTAGAAAGGAAATTATCAAATGGTTAGATGTTGGAATCATCTACCCTATTTCTGATAACAACTGGGTAAGCCATGTTCAATGTGTGCCAAAGAAAGGTGACATCACCGTTGTTTCCAAAGAGAAGAATAACTAGTTCCTACACGTACGAACACTATTTGGTATATTTGTATGGATCTTAGAAAGCTGAAAAATCCACAAGAAAAGACCATTTTTCATTGCCATTCATCGACCAAATGCAAGATGGGCTTGATGGAAAAGCTTTCTATTTCTTTCTCGATAGTTATAGTGGTTACATTCAAATATCTATTGCACCAGAAGAATAATAAAAGACTACATTTTCCATCCCATATGGTACATTTTCTTTTCAAAGAATGACTTTTGGTTATGTTGCTACTTCAAGAATTCGACATTAAAGTGAGAGATAAGAAAGGCTATGAGAATCAGATAGTTGATCATTTATCTCACTTAGAATTTGGTAGTGAAGATAAAGAAAACACTAGTGATTCTTTCTATTGACGTAATACCTTGGCATGTGAAATTTTTCATTTATTTAATGATTAGTTATTGCCACATGACCTCAATCGCCAAGGAAGAAAAAAATTCTTCCTTGATGTTAGAGCATATCATTGGGGAGAGCCACACCTCTTCAAGCATTGCAATGACCAAATTCTAAGACGATGTGTCCCCAAATATGAGCAGCAAAGCATTCTACATCATTTCCACGATACACCATATAGTGGACATTCTGGAGGAATGCATACAGAAGCAAAATTTCTTCAACGTGGTTACTATTGGCCATCTCTATTCAAGAATGCAAATGAATTTGTCAAGCATTGCGACAATTTTCAAAGAATTTGCAATATTTCTCGTAGTAACAAAATGCCAATGCAACTTATATTGGAGATATAATTATTTGATGTTTGGGGTTGGACTTCATGGGACCTTATCCTTCATTTTGTGGTAATCTTTTTATCCTAGTTTTTGTTGATTATGTATCCAAATGGGTTGAAGCTGTAGCATTACCTTCAAGTGATGATAAGTTGGTTTTTCGATTTCTCCACAAGAATATCTTCACTCGCTTTGGGACACCTAGGGAATTCATTAGTGAAGAGGGTTTATAATTTATAGGCAAGCAAGTTGTCAATACTTTACAGCGTTATGGAGTGAAGCATCACATTGCTATAGCATATCCTCCTAAAAATGGTCAAGTCGAAGCCTGCAATCGTAAAATTAATAAAATTTTGGAGAAGGTTGTGAATCCTTCGAGGAAATATTGGTATTTGTGACTTGATGAAGTATTATGGGCATATAGGATAACCTATAAAACCTTGTTGGGTATATCTTCGTATCACCTTGTGTATGGAAAAGCTTGCCATATACATGTGGAGTTGGAGCATAAAGCAATGTGGGCTCCGAAAAGGCTAAACTCTGAACTTGATGCTACTGGCGAAAAAAATATTATGGGCCTCAATGAATTGGAAGAGCTTGACAACAATGCTTAAGAGAGTACTAGAATTTACAAAGATAAAAGAAAGAAATAACATGACAAACACATTTTGGCACGATAATTCCATGTTTGGCAGCTTGTGTTGTTATTGAACTCTCGCTTGAAGCTCTTCCCTAGGAAACTTAAATCTCGTTGGTCCGGTCCATTTGTAATTATCAAAGTCTATCCTTATAGAGTAGTGCTATTGAATAACTTAGTGGATAAAATTATATTCAAAGTTAATGGGCAACGTTTGAAGCATTATTACCACAAAAAACCCACACATTGCTTCCATCTCACTTAAAACCCCATTTTTTTTTAATTTAGTGTTGCAACTTATATGAAAGTATACACAATCACACAAGTAATAAAGTGATGATTGAGTATCATATCCACAGGGATTGGAAGGATTTATGCACTATTCTAAAGTAACTAAGTATAGCTAATTGTATTCACAAATGATTATGTCGAGGCAAATGAAATGTGTATGTATGATGGAAGGATGGTAATGTGAATGAGTAAAAAATGGAAATGTCAGGGCGATATGATAGTTTATGTCATGGAATAATAGATGGAAATTTCGTGGCAAAGCAAATGTTTGCAATATAGTTAACTGAAAATGTCAAGGAAACACAGAATGCAAACACAATAATTAAGTAAAATGACTTGGTAATCCTCACACAGTAGGCTACTATTGGAATGAATGATGGGGTCACTTAGGAAACTTAAATCTTATATTTTAGGATGACATAACCTTCTAATGCCTTAACTGTTCAATGAAGTTTACTAAAAGTGTTATACGCTATCTCTAGTCAAAGAACCTAACAGAATAGGATGCCACGACAAATCTACCCTATTAGTCGTTGAAGTCCTAACTTAGTTCTATCGAACACTAACGGATTGGGCTCTAGTGATTAACTAAATCTCATTGCTTATACTAATCTTCCATTAGTTTCTCTCGAATACTAAAGAATTAATGACTACGTTTCTCTCAAAAACCTAGTCTTACAGTTAAAAATTGGACACTCTTATGCTTCCTACAATCTTAAGAAACTAAGAACTCATAATAAAAACAAGTAATAAGCAAAAGAAAACAACAATCATCCATTCAAAATAAAAATCAAGTATCCATCATGAACCACACCACATAAAGTTTAGTTCATCCTGGGTTTCGAATAATGCATGAAATAATCTATGAGATTCATCCATTCCTTACAACCTAAAGATAACGAATAAAAAGAAAGCAAAAGGGTGGAGGAAAATA